GCACAGTGCCCGAACTTATAAATACTGTTTATTCAAATGCCACACCATGTCCATTTTTTTTTAGTTTTTCATTTTTTTGGCAAGCCGTTGGTGTCTTCTGTGTCTGCCTTCCCCGTTTCCTTGTTGACTGATCGTCCCTCTCTTTGATGGATGCAGGCAACGTTTTACAGTGAGCTGGATCCAGTGGTGGGCTTGCTGAGCAGAAGTGCGTTTCAAGAAGTCGTGTGGTCAAGAGAGCCTTCACCAAACGCTGTTGTGGCAGCGGGATCACTTTCGGACACGAAGAAGACAGCAGCATCTAGTCCACGAGGGAACCACCTTCAGGTGCTGAACAATGAGCCAATCAGCTATGGGGGAGGAGGGCTGGACGGCAGCAACAAGAAACGGGCGTTTTTGTTATCGCCATCTCCGAATGAGAGAAGGATATCGTTCAATGGGACCGGCGGCGGATTCCTACATGACAGAGCTGGGGGGGCTATGGCTATGGGTATGGTGGCGACGATGACGAAGACGTGCACTGTGAACAACAACACCAGTCCTCTGCGGAAGGAAAACGAGGGAGGGATATTTCCCACCACCAGAGTGCCACGTGTTCTGCCTGCTTGTCCCTTTCCTTATTTCGATAGTCCTGTCCGGCCTGCAATGGTTGTCTCTTCAGAGAAGTCGAGATCCTTGGACGGCCCGCCAATGGTGGGAGAGTCGCAGAGAGGACAAACATCTCCTATTTCTTACACGTGTACATCCACATCACTGGATTCTTTCGAAAAGACCAAACTGACGTGTTGCAATCCGACGACAGAGGTCGACCTTCTTCCCAAGAAGCTTGGGGATAGCCGTCCGATCAAGCGGTTGGCAGAAGACGCGGGTGTCGCCAGCGAGACGCTTGAGACGCTCCCCACCGTTCCCGCCTCCCCAGTCCTGCCCCACGGGCGTTTCTCTGCAGCTGCTATCTGTCAATCACTGCCGCAGAAAAGTTCATTCAGTCCACCTCCAAAGGAAGCGCAAGGGGTTCAGGATCCAAGCAATGAAAACCGGAAACCGATCACAACCCTTGTCCCAAACCTGACGGCGGTAGATTCCACCGTGAAAGCACCATCATCGACGGAACTGAATGCTCCCTCCTCATGCCCCTTCCCGCCGCCCCTCTCCTCCCTTGCTCCCGTCCTCCCTCCTGCCCAAATGGATCCACTTGTTCCATCTCGCGAAAGTTGTCTCACTTCCACCTCAGAGATATGCCTCGCCTCTTCACTTCAACTATCGGATGTCGAGAACGCAGCCCATCCTCTTCACTGCACCTCGTCCTCGTCTTCGTCTTCCTCATGTCAGGGGGGCGTTGTCACTTATCCAATCCCTCCTCCGCCAGGTCTTCACCTAAGGAAAGCCGATGCTGCATCTCCCGCTGTCAGCCCTTTGAGTCCTTTACATATTTTTCCTGCAGTCCCTCAGTCAGCACCTTTTCCCATCGCCAAGGATTCCCAGACTGATGCAGCGCCGCCTCCTATCCCTGCTGCCAGGTCCTCGAGCTGTCAACGGCTTGCACCGGATTGTCCTCGTTCCAGCCATGTGATTAGCCCCGTCTTACCGGCACCCACACCCGTGAACATTGCAATGAGTGCCTCTACATGCAGTGCCATCGCTTGCATGAATGAGCGGTCTGGGATGTTGTCAAAGAGCACCGTCGTACGAACGACGAGGAGGAAGTCCCCCGCACCAAGGGGCAGAACCTGTCCACCTGCTGGGGCTGCTGCGACCAGCGGCGCTGGGTGGCTTAGTCATATTGCTGGTACTGTCAGCCCCCCAATCAGGAATGCCTCGTCCAGCACTTCCTCTAGGTGCTCTGTCAGACACGCTTCCACGGCTAGCGATGGCAAGGGGAGTCTTGTAATTGATTCTCCTCCTAAGGCAGACAGCCAAGCAGGCGTGAAGAAGCCTCTTCTTCCACGTGGCAGAGCGAGCAGTCCCAATGTGGTGAGAGCTGGTGCCAGGTTTATGTCACCGACAGCCTCCAGTTCATCCAGAGGGAAAGCCATGTCCACTCCAGGCGCGTCTTCTCCCCGACGGAATCATGGCAGCAGAGGAGAAGGGGAAGCAGCAGGTAGCGGTACATCGTCGTGCTCCAGGGACAGCATGCTAAGCATGGGTGGAGCAGAAAGTGGCGGCACGAGAGCACGTGCGTTGACCTCTCTTCGAACGCCGGAGAGCAAGTCGGTGTCCTCGTCACACCCGCCGAGTCAGAGGCAGACAGCAAGGACGTGCTGCTCTTCTCCTACGGTCGTGGGGAACAGCAGGGAGCCCCAGTCGGAAAGGATCAGTCCCAGACCACCAGGAAAAAACAGTCCCATCGCTGGTCCCATTACTGGTGCCTCCTCGACCGGTTCGACTACCGTGGACGTTGAGCCCAGGACTGGCCATCCTGCCGCTGCTGTTGCCACGAGACCGCCACGCCATATATATCCCGGTTCCTCCGGCGGGAAGCCTGCGATGGAGAGCTCGGCAGAATTCAGGGAGGCTCTGGGAAGCAAGGATGGCGGTTTCAAGTGCAGGGATGCCTCCACTTCCGTTAGCGTCACCGGCCAGCCAAAAATATTGTCGGGAGCCGCAGGTGTGAGGGGAGCCGAGTCGTCCTCCCGAAGAAAAGTCTCACCGTTGAACATGTCGTTGACGGGCAGGGGGAGCGTTCTTCCTCTGGCAAATGCAGAGCTGCCCATAGGCGGCCTTCCCCCGCCAGCAGAAAGCCACGCGTCGCCAGCTTCTGGCAAGGCGCTCGTGGCTCCCACTGCTGCTGATGATGACTCTGACAAATTTCCACCCTCTTCTTGTACAGGCGGTAAAAAGGAAAATCTGTTTCTGGTGTGTAATGGACAGCAGCAGCAGCTGAGGGCGAATTCACAAGCAGAGAGGGAAGCATCACCAACCCTGTCAAGGGCGGGTAGGAAGAAGAGGCAATTGCAGCTTATGAGCAGCCTGGCAAAAATGAGAGGGCCGGCTCCCGTGAGATCGGAGAGAGAGAGAGAGTCATCATGCATGCGAGAAGGAGCCTCGGCGGTGGCAGGAGGGGACGACAACCCCTCAGCGCCGCAAAATGGTAGCGTTGTAAGCGCCGGCAGAGCAAGTGGAGCTCCTCCTCCTCCTCTTCCTCCTGCTCGACCACCTACTCCCTCGAAGTTCATGTCCATAAAGGGCTCGGTGCGCTGCGCGCTTGGATGTTTTACACCACCAGGCAGGGCTGTCGTCGGGGCTGGGAGTCCGAGGAGGACGAGAACCTCGGCAGCAGCTCCGGCATCCAGGGCGGCCCAGAATACCTCCCTTCCTCCTCATTGCGCTTCTTCAGGCCTCCCTCTTCCAGCGGCCACAGCCCCGATGACGATTGCCAATAGTAGTGTTGTATCGCCTTCCGTTGGATGCATCAATGACGCGCTGTGGCACTTGCCATCAAGGATGACTGATAGCCGAGGAGCAGGGGCCACTGTGGCTAGTGACACATTGACGAGAGGGAACACCACTCCACGCCGGGAAATGAACAGGGAACTACAGCAGTCAGATGCTCCTTCGGCTCCCAAACCTTGGGCTACTACCCCCAGGTCCAAGCCAGAGGATAGATCTGCAACGCCCGGCAGGTTAGCCGCCGGAGATCAGTCCTGCGATCAATGGGAGGGAGAGAAAGCTCCCATCACATCTGGGGAAGGTGAAACGGTGAGGGGAAGAGCAGTCGAATCCCCTACACCGTTTCTGAGCACCAGCGAGGTGGGACGGCAGAGGCAGGAGGAACACGCCACGTCCAGGAAGGTACCGTGTGTAGCAACGACGAGGAGGACCGGGGACAAAGTTATACAGTGTTCGGTCTCTGTTTCGATTTCTGCCGTTCGGGTTAAAAGCCGAGGTCGAGCTTCGTCGCCAGAAAGCCTCGAGTCTACGAGCAACAGCACGTTATTAGACCTAGGGCCTGGCGGCCAGAGTGATCGTCATCAGGGCGATACGGGTACTGCCAGTGGAAATCGCTCCAGCAGGAGATCCACAAGTGTCAAATCGATGCCGCCTGACTCTGGCATCACGGGGGACGGCAAGCTTCCTTCTCCATCAACATCCTGCCGCCCTGCTTACAGCAAAGCTCGTGAAGATCCAAGGCCTGAAACCGCTGCTTCGCCTGGGGTGGGGGATGGGCAGAGGAGGGCAAAGAGTTACCAAACATCCAGCAGTGGGTTGATGTTGACGTCATCACGCAGGTACAGTTCTCCCACTTCTGTGGCCGGAGACAGCGGCGCTAAAGACGTGGTATCACAAAGTGGTAGTCATACCCCATCAGTCTTGAAGACCGGGAGAGTAGGATGCCGTGGTAGCAGTGGCAGCCGGGGAGGAGGAGGAGGTGGACGAGAAGTGCCTGTGTGCAACCGTTTCTCCATGCCGAGTGACTTGCATGCAGGCGTACCAATAGCTTCGGCTGCCATGGTGCGTTCTTTGTGGCCACCTTCATCTCCTGCGCGGAGAGACTCGGCTGCAAGGGGAAGGCTGACTCCTGCGCCTGCTCGGCAGCCGCGCTGTCCGTCTCCGCTCGTGGATGGGTGGTCAGCCAGGAACCCAGCTGGCGCACAGGGAAGACCCGCATCTCTTCCCAGATCGACCAAAGTGCTGCAAGGCCAGAGAACGGATGGAGGATCCTCGCTGAGGTCCCGAGGGGAGCCAGAGGACCCAGGGAAGGGAGGCAACGACGGCCCAGGCGGAGGGGCAATGTCTGCATTGTGTCGCGGCAGCAACAGTGCATCCGAAGAAGATCGCGCTTATAGGCGGAATAGCTACGAGAAAGGCAACAAGGCTCCACTGACGCACCGAGTGCAGTTCTCTGATTGTCAGGCGAGCTGCGGCAGAGGCGCTGCTGCTTCGAAACGGGAAGGTCCTGCAGAAGGGGCAGTCCACGCGAACCTGGTCGGTTGGATGGGCCAGGTGCAGGTGCAGGAACTTGACCACGATAATGGACATGACAGGAGGAGGCTGTCTGCCAGCCGGGGCACCGCTAACGAGCTCCATCGCGAGAAGGGGTGTGTTAACGAGGACCAGGAATGCACATTACTTGGGAAGTCACGTTCGCAAGAGCGAATTGTCGAGAATGGTGGAAGAGGTGATAAGAGGGCGGCGGTGATAACCAGGCAGCTGACACGTGGCGGCAATCCAATGACAGTGCTGTGCTGCACGGAAGTTAGACGGTCAAGAATTGAGAAAAAGCTGATTGGCACGTTGAAAGAGCAGAAAAAAGTGAATGAGACGGCAGGCAAGACGAAGGCACGGAAAGTTAGGGGACACCTAGACTGTGTGATGATCGTGGAATTAGCGCCATCCGATCTGAACGGTAAAGCGACACCTACAACGATCAAGAAAGACGAAACGATCCTGGATTGTGATAGAGTGAATGGGGCCGGTGACAGATGTGCCGCAGCTGCAGCTGGTGCTGCTCTGTCAGCATCGACGATGGCGGAGCTTGCGGGGTCTGCCAGCAAGACGGAAGAAGACGAGAGGGTCAAAAATCGAGAAAGTATCAAGGGGACGAACGAGGACGAAGCAGGGGAGGGGGAGACAGCTGCCAGGAAGAAATCTGCCGGCAGCAGCGTTCCGTTTCTCGGGCCAGCTGAAGGCGATGCGATGAGGTTGTCCTGTGAGAATCAGGCAGGTGATGCAAAGCTTTCGGTGTCGCTGGCCGTGGTACCAGAGCACTGGCAAGGGCGTAATCATCAGCCCTCTGAGCAGCAGGAGGACGATTCATCTACGCCAGGATTGCAGTGCAGTCGAAGGTGGGATGCTCGCTACTCTACACAGGAGGACGATTCGTCCGTGTCGGGTCCCACGACTCCGGACCAAGTCGAGCACCACCAACGACGTCTTTACCAGGTGGTGAGCTCAGCTCTTTCTCTTCTATCTACCTCAATCAGATTCTGCAAGTTGCTTTTCGTTTTTTCCTTTTCACCTTCTCCAGTCTGTTTGAGATTTCACGATCTCTCGCTCTGCCGTACTATTGTCGTACAGTTATTTCTTCTGACTTTTCCCCACACCAGGATACCAAGGAAGTTACCGGTCATTGTCCTGTAGGTTGCTCTTCTTGCATTCAAGGAAGCAGAGAGATGAACGAACCCGTTTTCATTCCTGACTGCCTTACGGGGGTTTTAGGGCGGTGCGCTCTATATCAGGAGGACAGACAACTGCGAAAACAACCTTGTGGACTTTGCGATCACCTTGTTGGTGCCTTCGGTGTAGAGTCTTCTTAGTCGCGCTGTGATCAAAGTTGGCGTTTGTTCCCATTTGGTTTTCTGGAATTTCATCGGTGTGCAGCATTTGTTTGGGAATGAGATACTCTGCTGCCTTGGTAGGGTTTTAGGGGTTTGCGCACATACAAAGAGGCGGGGGTCGAGCGTTTTCCAGTTGCAAGTACTCACTACGTCATATTGTCGCCACTGTGACCTAACAATGGCATAATCACTCTGGTAGTTAGGACCATCCTTGCCATAGGCACGATCGCATACCTTTAGCATTCTGCAGTCGTCTGGATGCGTCTGACAGGGATTACATGGCACTGCACATTGGGGGTGCAAAGGTCCAATAAGTACCCTTGAAGTATACTGTGTGTAACTGAGAATTGCTGCACAATCAGGTGCATGAAGCAAGGGAGGGAATCCTTGTTGGGTTACAGTCACATGACATTAGGTACGTGACATTTCAGCCTGAACGTGAATCCTGCCAAGGAAAGCCCTGGTGGGACTAAGTCCTGACCCTGACCCATGACCATGACTAAGTCCTGACTGCGTGCTCTTTGCTGTACAGTAGAGTGCATGAGGGAATGCAACTGCAGAACGCGCCCCAACTCGCTCACAGTTGCATGTCCTCGAGTCCGTGTAACGCCCGAACACCCCCATGAAGCCCGCCTGCCCGCCCGTGTTTGAACTTTCCTAGATGCCACTGACAGTATGGAAGCATTTCCAACGCGAGTGTGTGCCCGAAGTCTCGAATTCTAATATTGTATGCGTGCTGGAATATTTCTGCCTGTTAACGCTGTCCTTATGTGCATGTTCGCATCATCACATACGTGGGGTCAGAATTTCTGCCTAAAGGTTTTCAGTGTGTGTCGTGAAAATCCATCCTTCCTCATTGATAAGACAAGCTGCCTTCTCTACAGGCAGACGACCGAGACAGGACGAGCTGAACCGGGTAGATGATGGTCTTCCATTCTAGAGGGACATACAGGTGGATGGGCAAGATGATCTCTCGTTGGTTGCACCTGTGACCGTTTTGCGGAAGCAAAACACAGACCAGGTATGTTGTTTGCGCGTCAGCACCATTCTGAAACGCAGACCGTCTTCACCCGAATAGAACACCCGGTCCTTATAGCTGTATTTGGCACAATTTTCAGCCCAGATATGGCGATAATTACCGGGCGTTCTATTCCAATGAAGACGGTAGTCTGTTGAGAAGATCAGGATAAGGTATCTTTCTTCCCTTTATGAGAGGAAAAATGGTCCTCTATTCTATGCAGAGGGGCGGGGAAAAGGGAGGGGAAGGGGGGGKGGGGGACGGGGACGGGGAATGGAAGGGAGTGGTTGGCTGGAGGAACTCAAGGGACATTTGCTGCAACGACTACCCATGGTGAGTCTCCCGGCCACAGCAATCGCCCCTGGGCCATCGTCCAATCCTGACAAATGCGAAAGTGGGAGAGGGGGTAGGGAGGGGAAAGGGGAAGGGGCTGGAAGCACCTTACTGAGACTTTTGTAGTTGTGTAATTTTTGCTTGCCGGGGATAGGCAACCTGACTGTCACCCCCCAGAATAGAAGGGGCAGGTGTTCTTCCAAAAATTAGAAAAAAAGAAAATGTACTACCACGTACGAATGTTCAGAAGATCAGGATAAGTTTTTTTTCCCTCCCTTTTAAAGGGAAAACAAAGAAAAAAGGAGAGAAAAGCAGGACAGTGGTAATTAATGAACGAACATGAGTTTTCATCCATGGTTGGATTACTGTCTTGTGTGGTTTGTCTATTTTCTCTCTTGGACAAACTCAGGCATCGACGGCGTCGACTTGCGGTCGTTCGGATGGCGAGAGCTGGAGCTCAGAGTGTGGACGAGGGAAAGGAGGACGAGGAGGAGGAGGAGGGGGAGGGTATGGTGCGGGCGCAGCAGTATCAACAGCGGGGTTGAAGAAACGGCTATCCCTTGAGCTCATGGACGGTTGTGGTGCTTTGCCGGACGAGCATCCCAGCCCTATCTCTGCACTCGATTTCCCAAACTCGTCGGAATGCAGTGAGCCCGCCGGAGAGCTCGAGAATCTTGAAGGTAGATACGGAATCTTTCTTGCCCACATAGCCTTATAAAACAAACCCACCCCCCTTCCCCCCACCTTTCACGACGACTGCCCTTGTTACCAGGAAGCCTGCCCGCTGCCGTGTTTCAGTTGTGATCCGTTGGCGATCTGATGGCCATAGATTCGTCTCCCCATAAGGACGTCATGCCGGGTTTAAGAGTTTGAGGCTCTTCTCACATAACATCAATCCTTTGGCCTTGCGACGACTCGATATTGAAGGGAGGGAAGGGAGGGAAGGGAGGGGAAGTAAGGTAATTGATTGGGTGGGTGCACTTTATCCGTTCTATCTGGGTCCGGCACAAAGATCTCCCTAAGTGTCGTCATATTGTCGATCAAACTAAACCAATCGATGAGAATGTCTTGAGGATGTGATGGTCAGGAAATCATGCCAGGGAAAAGCATCAGCTCATTCACATGAAGAGCGCCCTTCCGCACTCAGGCAAGATCTGCCCTCAATCAGTCAGCTAGTCCGGCTTCGGGAAGGAGGGTAGGGGGGTAGGTAGTCGTCACCCAGCCAACAAACTCTCTAACTACACTGTGACCACTCAGCCGCCGAAATCGTCCGCTGTTGTCTCCGACGACTTACCTGCCACACCAGCAGAGGATGAGCTCTAAGCTTGCCATATCGCGACCAACGAAATGCTGAATGTAAAACTCGTGCTGCCTAGTTGGCAGATCTGGTACGCTCACAATCCAGTCTGCAATCTGGGCCGCAGGCAAGATAAAAAGCGGATGCACGCAATGTTAGCATGCAATTTTGCCGCCGCGGTTTGCAGCCTGCTGGCCTTTTTGTCAGTGGAAGAAGAGCGGAGACGGCAAGAAGAACTTGTATACATGCCTCTACCCGTCAATTATGGAGCATCTTCGCAGTGAACCAACCTTCCAGAGAGAATCACACGCGAGCATCGTCACTTACCTCAGTTTCGTTGCCTTAGCACTCGTGACGTGCGAGTGAATGTTACTCCACAAGTGATTCATCAAGTTCTGAGATCAGGAGCTAAAGAAAGAACCTATAACGTTATCTTCCATATGATTAATGTGCACTCTTGAATGATGATGGGGTGGCTTCCGTGTTCCGTGTGATTAACGTGCACTCTTGGTCGATGATGGGATGGTGTTGGCCCCCGGTTGCCAGCAGGTGATGCTCCCGCGCTATTAGGCAGACGGATCCTCAGCGCGAAAAGAATGAGCAGAGCCCTACAGCTCCGTCCGCGGTTGCCCGATTGTATATATATGTTTTTTTTTGTTTTGTTTTCCTTCTCTCTCTCTCTCTCTCTCTCTCTCTATATATATATATATATATTTGACGATATATATATATATTCTATTTGACGATATATATACAATATATAGCCTCCTGATGAGTCGGTGAAACTCCGACGAAACAGTTTGTCACAGCCCCTCGTTTGTTGTCCTCTTCTCCCTCTCTGCCTACGGTTTACCGGGCAGTTCTATTTGACGATATATATATATATATATATATATATATATATATATATATCGTCACATATATATATTGCTTACGAAAAACGAAAAAATATTGTGTCCGCATTGAAGAAATGCGACAAAGTCTTCGAATCATTGTCCAATGCTTGAATCAAATGCCTAGTGGCATGATCAAAGCGGATGATCGTAAACGTTGTCCTCCTTCACGCTCTCAAATGAAACAATCCGATGACGCTGAATAGGAATTCCAACGTCGAACAAGGCCATCTGCTGTGTATAGATATGTATCTGGGACTTTTTTTTAATTCTTTGCACACAAGAATGTTTTGACATCCTGGTTGGTCTTGTCCCGTTGTTTGGCCTGTGTGTGCTGGGGCGGTGCTTGCATGCGGGACTTGTCATCTGGGATCTGTTTTGTTGCCCCCTGTTCTGTTTTATTTGGCTGTTCCCTTCCTCTTTTCCTTGCCTCTTTGCCTTTTGGCTGTGTGCAAGTGGGTCGATATGACACATGGGGGTGGGGGCAGCCGTCGCTCAACCTACATCCACGTGGGCGGCTTTGTACGCAAGAGGTTCTGAACAGGGGGAGTTATAAGGAAGAAGATAGAAAAATTAATTAATTTTTTCTTTTTTTTTTTGTTCGCATTTGCGCTCTGATACTCTTGTGACAATATATATATATATATATACCCCTTGTTTGTTGTCCTCTTCTCCCTCTCTGCCTATGGTTTACCGGGCAGCTCTGTTTGACTATATATATATAACTCCGACGAAACAGTTTGTCACAGCCCCTCGTTTGTTGTCCTCTTCTCTCTCTCTGCCTACGGTTTACCGGGCAGTTCTGTTTGTGACGATATATATATATATAAACTCCGACGAAACAGTTTGTCACAGCCCCTCGTTTGTTGACCTCTTCTCCCGACGAAACAGAACTCGCTGGTAAACCGTGGGCAGAGAGGGAGAAGAGGACAACAAACAAGGGGCTGTGACAATTTCGTCGGCGTTTCACCGCTCATCAGGAGGCTGAACTCTTAACAGTCTGCAAAATCCCCTTAACTGATTACACTGTAAGTGATAATCCACGTTAACCCCGGTTGTGGTTAAGCATCAACGACTGCCATATATCTTATACATTGTACCATATTATAGAATATATATGTATAATATATATATGCAACGAAGATGAGCGATAGCGAACTTCAGAATTCAAACAGCATCATACACATGAGACCAGGTTGTCGTGACCTCGAACCAATAGCAGAATTGCATCACGAGTTTCACCAAATAAGAGCACAGCAAAAGCTCATAATTGACAATGCTGGAATAGTCTCATCATCATCAACGAAGAACCAATGTTGATATCCTATCTGGCGCTCGGCGCCCAGACTACGAATGGCAGATCCTATCTAGCATAGACTACAATGCCGCATGACGTCAGAAGTTTCCCAAGTACGCGCAGATCTCGGCCAATGACGCACGCCTCAAGCACCGGGTATGTCTCTCGTATCCCTCACAACCTCGTTCCCCAACTCACAGATGCCACTTGCACCCAAGGACGACCATGCGCCCCATCCAGCATACAGCAGCGCAGCTCGGCTATGGCTGCCTGCTCCTTCCAGCTCGCCCGTGAGCGCGTGAGCCTGGCAGGTGATAGCGCAGCAGCGCTTGCACACAAAGCAGCCAGTGCCCGAATGTCCAACGCGTGAGCAGGCCCTTCCCTATATCGAAGTGGCCTGCTGCTGCGTGCTGTATTGCGGTACTGGGCCTCGGCACAGAAGCTTCTGGTAGGCCCAGGGAGGCTGAGCCTCTGTCCAAACAAAACAGGCCCAGGGCCTCCGACAGTTACCCGTGCCCAACTGCTCACAGCCTGTGTTGGGTCCATCCTGCGTATCTCGCCCAGGGCCTGGCTTAGATACATTTGACAAAAGGAAGCCAGGGCCTGGGCACCTTCAACCAACTGGCGCTGCGCAACTGCCTGAAATTCCCCAGTTGCGGGTTGACCCCAAAAATAGGCCTGTAGGCTTCGGTCGGGCCTGCCTTCACTTCGGGCGGCCGACTGTACTGGAAATGGGGCCCTGTAGGGGCGTATTGAGGCGTTGTGCCACGCATATATAACTATTTGTAGTGATGTGACAATATATCGTAATAATGTATAATGTGTGTAAAATGTATACACGTGGCTGGCCTTGTACGTAAGAGGTGATGAACAGGTGAGGCTTTCCTTCCTTCTTTTCCTTTCCTTCTTTTGCTTTTTTTCGCCTTCGCGCTCTGATTTACAGTGTGACAATATATCTGGTGTGGTTGAGTGATAGTCTGCTTTGATTTTCGTCACAGCCGGCTTGAGGGCAGTGGTTGGTGCCCACCTCAGGGTATCAGTTGTCAGGCAGTCGTTGATGTTTAACCACAGCCGGGGTTAATGTGGATTATCACTTACAGTGTAATCAGTTAGGGGATTCTGCAGACTCTTGAGGGTGCAGCCTCCTGATGAGTAAGTGAAACTCCGACGAAACAGTTTGTCACAGCCCCTTGTTTGTTGTCCTCTTCTCCCTCTCAGCCTATGGTTTACCGCGCAGCTCTGTTTGACGATATATATAATATATATCGTATATAATTGTAATGAACCCAGTCTGATAGATACTCAGAAGTCGTCAAACATCAGTAGTTTACTTATCTGCATCAAAGTCTCCAAATCGTGAAGTGAAATCTCAAACAGTATCTCGTTACCATCAAAAGAAGAGAGTGGAGGGGGAACAGACAAAGGAGAAGATGAAAAACTACACAATAATAATCCCTTCAGATCCCTCTCCTTCTCCGGGCTTCTTCCCTCTCCATGCCAACAATGATAATAAGTATATTCCTAATCACACACAATAGTGCCACGTGGCACTTTATCTCGTGACGACCATGAAGACATAGCAGATTCCAGTGATGACGTCAACCTCAGGTGAGTACCCGATCTTCTTCATCCACAGATCCCGATCTTCCTCCTCGCAACCAGTCACCTCATGTAGACAGCGTGGACAGTGCCACGTCAGCAGTCAAGATAGGTGGCATATGCCACATCATCAATGAAGACCAGTGGCAGCACCACATCAGCATGCACTGTAAACCAGAGGCAGTGCCACATCAACATGCAATGTAGTCCAGTGGTAGCGCCACATCAGCATGTAATGTAGTCCAGAGGTAGCGCCACGTCAGTATGCAATGTAGACCAGAGGTAGCGCAACATCAGCATGCAATGTAGACCAGAGGTAGCGCCACGTCAGCATGCAATGTAGACCAGAGGTAGTGCCACATCAGCATGCAATGCACCACGTCAACATGCAATGTAGACCAGAGGTAACGCCACGTCAGCATGCCATCTCAGCAAGCCTGGCGCACAATGCAAGAACGCCCGCATGCTGCCTTCACCTCGTGCCGGCGTCCGCATCGCCAGTGCATAGCCAGCGTCTTGCCAGCGTCGACCCAGCATAATGCCAGCGTCTAGTCAAAGTCGAGCCAGCGTCAAAGCAGCATAGCAAGACTGAAT